CTCCTGAAACCGCATTAGAGCCTTCAGGTATTAATGAATTTTCTTTGAGATTTTCCATCAAGGGTGTCTAAGATTCCACTTCACCCAAGGAGACTTCTAAGCCTATCAGCTTAAACCTGAAGCTCACATGGTTGGGCAGGCACCTCGGGTGAGGGCTGGCCTCTGCTCTGTCTGCTGTTTCTCATCGTCCTGAATTTAGCCTTTAGCCGGTCTGCTTCCATTTTACCTCTTGAAAGATTTCAAGACCATTGGTCTGTTCTCACTTTATTCAGAATTTTTGTTTTCAGAGATGGAGTCATCTGAGACTCAGTGTATCGTAACACTATTCTAAATGTATATTCAACCTCCTGAGTACAATTTCTACATCTATTTTAAAATTTATTCACTTCATAAATAAAATTCAAGTCACACATAAAGTCTAAGCTGAATAATAACACACGCCTCCTTTCTCTTCCCCCTGGCTCCTTTCTAACAAATAGCTCCTTTTAACGGTAATTGGGTCTTTGAGGGTTTGTTACTATGTGGGGTTTTGTTTGTTTATTCTCTGCACTAATCGTTACGGGCAATACCTAACAGTGGTTGGTCCACTTCTTACATCAATCAACTGCACTGAGAAATTTCTTACATATGCTGCCTCTCATCCACTTGATTTTAATATTTTTAGTAGTAGCACTTAGGCTCCTGATGTCTGAATTCTGTTTTTAATTCTCATTTGGTCCTCTGATGTGTAATAGGCTGGTTTAGTTATTGTTCTGTATATAACAAGTAATGTAACTAAACACAAAGAACAGTAAGTGCACTGCATCTTCAAGCCCCCGCCTCCAGAGCATAACTCACGCGCCAGCTAAGACGTAGTCTTGGATTTTTTTTTTTTTTACTCTTCTTCATTTTATGCAGGGAGTGTCCACATCACCCTTCCTTGGTTTCCTTTGACCTCTTTTATTAATTTATTAATTTTTACTAGATCAGCTCCATCCATGGAGCCAACGCCTCCCTCTGTCCTCTCTGGGTTCTGAGTGTTACTAATAGCCCAGGTACTTTCCACCCTGCAAGCCTTCCGTCTTTTTTTGTTAATTTATGCCCATCTGGGAATGAGTACGAATGTGCGGGGGGCACAGGCCCTGGAAGCCGAGCTCCAGGCAATTTGTGCACTCCTCATATTAAAAGCTCGCAGCTTTACTGACCTTGGGATAATTATACACTTTCTACAACAAATTTTCCTATCATCTCTTGCATTCTGCTTTTGGTAATACCTAATAACTGCCTTTTATTCATAGTCAACTAATGCTTGTTTATTTTAAATAGCAAATATTTCAATGAGACCTTATTAAAAAAAGAAAAATGTATACATATTAACTGTCCTTTTTCTAATTCAAAATCTGGACAACTTTTTTATGTTCGTCTTAAAATACTTGAAAACTTAAAATATTCTATCACCTGCTTTGTGTATGTGTGTGTCTGTGTGTGTGTGTGTGTGTGTGTATAGACAGAAAGGGAGATGGAGACGGAGAGGGAGAGTAAATTCTAATTATTTTTGTTTTGAAGTGAAAATGCAAATGAATTCTACTGTTTCAGAAATGCAAGAGGTTATTTCAAGTCTGCTTTGAAAGTAGTAATTTGTATCTTTTATTGTATATACATTTATTTCATGCTATCGTCCTTAATAGGAGGAATTTAAAACAGTGTTTTGTTGACAGAAGTAATTTCCTTTACATTTATATTTTACTAATAAGTGTTTGACACCTAAAAGGACAACACGGAGGGACTAGAGAGGAGACCGACTTCAGTTTCCCAGGACCAACAGGATGGAAAGCGGGAACCAATTCCCACTAATTGTTCTCTGACCTATGCACACATACTCACAATAAATACATATATATATATATATATATATATATATATATATATAATGTAAAACATACATACAAGCTCAACTGGTTGTATTTATGTATTTAGAAATATATGTGCTTATCCTTAGGTATATATTCACATAACAACAATTAATTTTAAAAGGAGGCCATATATTTAAAACAAAACAACCTGGGGCATATGGGAGAATTTGGAAGGAGGAAAGGGAAGTGGAAAATGATGTAATTACATAAAAATCTCAAAATAAAGAAATTTATTTTAGACCATACTAAATTAAAGACCATACTAGACAGAAGTTCCCATCTACAAAGAACAGTAACAACATCCATCTACGTAGGGTGGTGTGGAGTGGCGCCCCTCTCCCGAGAGCTCAGCCACAGCATCTTTCTCCGCTGCAGTAAAGCAGACATGTGCGCTCCTGCGGTGCCTTAAAGACGATAGGTCCCACTGCCTGCACTACTATGGCAGACATCATACTAAAGCCATTCTAAACAGAGTCCTTGTCTTAGTTAGGGTTTTACTGCTGTCAACAGACACCATGACCAACGCAACTCTTATAAGGACAACATTTAATTGGGGCTGTCTTACAGGTTCAGAGGTTCACTCCATTATCATCAAGGCAGGAGCATGGTAGCATCCAGGCAGGCATAGTGCAGGAGGAGCTGAGAGTTCTACGTCATCATCTGAAGGCTGCTAGCAGTATACTCGCTTCCAGGCAGCTAGGATGAGGGTCTTAAAGCCCAAGCCCACAGCGACACACCTAGTCCAACAGGGCCGCACCTTCTAATAGTGCCACTCCCTGGGCCGAGCACAGACAAACCATCACAGTCCTCACTTGGGTTGCGGATCACTTTCGACACGTTTTGCTGTGGATCCTGTGTTTATATGACAATTGGGCACTGATGATAATCTCAACCCTAAAACTCTCCAAGATGAAGAAATGAGCAAACTAACCTAGCACACTTCCTGAACAACTACAGACAAATCAACCACACTTTCAGAAGCCACGCGGATTCAGGGGTTCTCAACCTGTGGGCCACGACCCCTTCAGAGCCACATATCAGCCGTCCTGCATATTGTATATTTACATTATGATTCATAATGGTTGCAAAATTACAGTTATGAAGTAGCAAAGAAGTAACTTTATGGCTGTTGGTCACCACAACATGAGGAAGTATATTTAAGGGTCACAGCACTAGGAAGGCTGAGAACCATTGTGCTGCTACTCTGAACTGTATCTTCAAATTGTATCTTTTGAGTTTCGGACCACTCCTACCTCTCTCTCACCCTTCTCCAGCTCCTTCTGCCTACTCCCAAATTCATGACCTCTTCTCTATTATTTTATATGTCTATTCATATGTATAAATATGTACCGATTATATATAACCACTGATTTGGTTAGTTTGCTTATATATAAACGTGAGCAGAGGTGAGATGACCACTTGGGATCAGACAATTTTTGTGGGAGTTTATCCCTTGGCCGTGACTCCTGTCACTTTCCATCTAGGGGTGGGAGAATGTTTTGAACCTGTAATTACAAAAACATTTTCATATGTTAATTTTGATCCTATCTCATATATCTAATAACGCCTTGAAAGATCGTTTCTAAATATCATTCACCAAATTCCTATGGATTCCTAAAAATTTGCAAGTATAGTAATTATCATTGTTCTTGTTTCTTCCTTAATGTAGTTCATCCTGTTCATGGACTGGTTACTTTGCCACATAAGAAATTATAAAGTAATTCTGCCTTCTCTGACTTAGTAGCGTTTGATTCAGCAGGGCTTTGCTTGGGACGGTTGTCTATGTTTTGAATGCCGGTTGGTGATCCTATTTTACCAATTAGTCATTAACAATACATTTTAAAGATGATCTGATTTCTGTAGTATTTGAATGACGCCTTATACGCATACTTTGTAACCACTGTCTTACTTTGGACTGCAGTAAAATACTCTAAGCTAGAGAAATGTATTTCTTCTGTTCTCAGGCTGGAAAGAACAAGATCAAGGCACAGACAGATCCCTCAGCTGGCATGGGCTTGCTTCCCCACAACCAGCAGCAGCTTCTCTTGGGTGTAATGTCCTAGAAGGGTCAAGGAGCTCCTGCCGTAGTGACACCATTATTTCCCAGCAAGTCTCATCTGATGCTGTCATTTTGGTGACTCAGATGTCAGCATATAAATCCATTCACACACAAACACTCAGACCATGGCAACATTATCAATCGAACTAACTTCTTTAACTATTTTACTTTGAGAACTTTTTAATAAATTCAATTTGAATAAAACAGTCAACCTCACTTCTAAGTTTTATTTGCATTACTTCTTCCATTTACCCAGTGTGAGCTACCAATAAAATTAGTCACTGTTGGAAAATCCAATTGGACATAATTTTTAAGACTGGCTAACGGAACTAAAGAATCACTGGTGAGTCTTAGACTTCAAAATGTAATTAAAGGGAAGTAAAAGGGGAAATTATGAGAAAACTGAGTTGAATCTAAAGTACACTTTCTATTTCAAGTTCAGTACACTAGGTTCAGCTTTCACATGTGTCCTGGTAATAATGTTCTCTGACTCTACAAGTTCCATGAAATAGGGTCTCTTTTTTTTCTTTTTTTCTTTTTTTATTGATATTTTCTTTATTTACATTTCAAAAATCATCCCCTTTCCCGGCCCCCCCCAAACCTCCTATCCCATCCTCACTCACCCTGCTTCTATAAGGGTGTTTCTCCACCCACTCCTGCCTCCCCACACTCACATTCCCCTACACGAGAGCATTGAGCCTTCAGAGAACCAAAGGCCTCTCCTCCCACTGATGCCCTCTGTCACATATGCGGCTGGAGCCATGGGTCTCTCCATATGAACTTTTTGGTTGGTGATTTAATCCCTGAGAGCTCTGGGGGATCTGGTTGGTTGATACTGTTGTTCTTCCTATGGGGCTGCAAACCCCTTCAGCTCCTTCGGGTCTCCTATAGCAATATGTCCTTTACTAAATGTGTAAGTATTAAGCTAGTCAAAGACATTAGAGCAGTTTACTGAGGTCTCTATCTAAGGCTGTGGTATAATTCTTATATTGCATAATCTGCTCCATTTCTAAAACTACGAGTAAGTTTGATTATAGGAATCTTCTTACCATTCTTCGTACTGGTTTAGTTCTCTCTGCTCTTGACAAGAAAGCAGCATATTTGTTCAAGTTGGGCAGTTCATCATGAAATCTTCTAACCTGTGAATTCCAAAAAAGCACACTGAAACCAAGAGGTAAAGGGTATATATATAGCTTATGTTATCAATGTCAGCAGCACTAGAAACAATCGACTTTCAAGGAAGCTTGGCACCATTGCTCCATCTTACTGACAAACATTCAAATTTAAATTTTTACAGAGGATATAGAAGTAAAAATCTTACATCCAGTGAGTCATACAATGGAAACAGTGGATTCTAAAGCCTCTAGTTAAGTATAACAGATCTGCACACATTCGTTAAATAGAGAAGGGTGGTCGCTGTGAGACTGTAGCTATATCCATTACGGTGCACCAACATTTGCTGCCTAAACAGGAGCTGAACAACGGCAACAGCAGGACACACACGAGTGTGCACAGCGAAGAGCGCAGGAGGCCTCACCCACACACTAAGAACTACAAGGAACTAAGGAATGTGGAGAGCCAGAGAAATAGCAGTTTCCAGGAAAGAGTACATTCACTGGCTATCCAATCACAGCTGATCAGCCCTGAAAAGACACATACGAACAACATTAAACAGACCAAGCAGGTTGTACTTACACATTTAGGAACATATGTATATTCACATACACATATGCATGTAAAAACAATTATTGAAAAATGAGGCCATGAATTTGAAAGAGAGCAAGTAGCAGTGTATAAGAGAGTTTGGAAAGAGTAAATGGATGGTTAAAATAGGCAATTATACTATAATTTTAAAAAATAAGTATATTAGGATGAATTTTAGCTATACTCAAACGTCATATTTAAAAATCAATTACTTTTCATTGTTACGAGTAACACTATTATTTTATCACACATTGTAATCTCAGTAATATTTCTCCCTCTTGTAGAACTACTTCAAGTAGTTCTGCTAGTTTCTAGTGCTACTTACATTGATAAGAAATGTGTTAAGTTATAATCTCAAAAATATAAAATTATAATTTATGTGTTCAATTATATAGCATTATTTGTTGGCACTTTATTAGTAGTACATAAAGCATATGGGCTAAAACTTTAACTTAATTTTGTGCAGTTCTGAACTAATATGTTTCCTAAGCAAAATGATCGATACTCTTTTAATGTGATCTTCCCTCACATGCACTGAAGATGCAAATTAATAGGCTAGAAGAGGCAGGTAATCTACAATTTTAATTTACAATTAATTATTCCCTGTGAAGTGCTATTTCTAATTTAATCTAATTTATTCATCCTATTCATTTAAACTGTATAAATAGTTGCAACATTCTATGTTTATGCAAAAGGGATAAAGGCTTATATTCTCATCTTTATAGACATCGCTGCTTTTATTTCATAACTCCATATTGTTATTAGGTATTTCAGAATCTGACACATAGTGGGAATGGCCTAATACATCAATTCTTTACTCATTTTACGGTTGACAATAATGTACTAAAACTCCAAATCTCGTACGCATTCTTTCTGTAAAACTGTCTGTTCCTTTAGCCAAAATCCTGGAGTTAGTTCTAGAAGTAAACCCAGTTTGTGTCACGATGACAAAAAAGAAAAACCTGAAAAACTGGAAACAAAGGAAACATACTTCATTACAGTAGACTGTATGTGACAGACTTGAACCTAATACTATAACAAACAAGGAAAAACATAAAGTATTTCCACTTATATCCAGGGAATGTCAGAAGTGTCTATTTACAGTGAATATGTTACTCTCAGTGAAATTAAACCACTAAGAATTTCCCAACAAAAAAAAAAGCTGTAGTCCAAATCAAATTCTTCCAGAGCCTTAAAGAATTAACAATAGACTCTTTAAAGCATTCATTAACAGTACATAACTACTCTTGCAGGAGACCAAAGCATTAATATTTAATGGATCACAGTAAGAGGGGACACAGATAGAGAGAGGAGCAGAGAAAGAGATAAATAAAACAAAACTTTGTTTTTGAAAGAAATCAAATACCAATGAATGTTGGTGAGGATGCAAGCAAAAGTAAAGAACCCCCATAAATTATCGTTGGGAGTAACACCTAATACGGCCACTATGAAAATCACTATAAAGACTCTTTCAAATAACTAAAAATGCAATTTCCATATGATTCACCTGTTGAGAGAAGAGAAGCCATGATTAGACTATATTGTATGGATAGAATTTGTCAATAAAAAAAGAAATATTAAAAAATAATTCAATAGCTTCATCTAGGAAAAAAATAAAAATAGCAGGTTCTCCTAACAGAAAATTTATACACCCAAACATGAAGAGGAGGAGATGGTGCAACAGGTTCAGGGTCTGACAAACAGTCCAACATACATATATACTTGGATCCCAGGAGCAGGAAAGGATATGGCACAAGAAATATATAAAGAAACCACAGACAAGAATTATTTCAGATGGACGACACACAGCAAGCAAAGATGTGACAGCTCTGCACATTCCAGACAGATGTACTGAAGAGAAAGCAACACTTAGTCATACCAAAGATACAAGTGAGAGACACACAAGCATCCACTGGTTCACAGAAAAATCCATATGTAGAACAACCCACTTCTCACTGGAAGCCACACGGTGGCATCATTAAAGGACTGAAAATAACTAGCAACCTAAAATTTTACATCCAAAAGAAATATTCAAAATCTATACAATATAGGCCTTTTCAGACAAACCAAGCCTACCATAACTCAGCAGCAGCAGACAGACAGCAAGAAGCACAAGGTGCCTATCTTTCAGGAAGGCATTGAAAATTTCAGACCGTAGTCTGAAAATGCAGAAAGAAGTGAATTACCAGGTAATGGTATATCGGTGAATTCAGGTGATACAAAGCAATAATATTCAAACAGTTTAACATATACAAATTTAGAATGTGACAATATATCAAAATGGCGTGAAAGTGCTCTAAGTTAGGGTTGTTGGAGACATGGTGGGATTAATTCTTTTTATTGGCTGGCAATGATCAGAGAATGCCACAGGGGCTCCGATGGGAAAACACAATGCATAACTAAAACTAGTGAATTAATGGTGCATTTTACACCAAGCACAGCAAAACATTCTAAAAACTACTAAAATTAACAACAGGTCCCTCAAAAGCACTAAGGTAGGTTTGATGTACTATTTTTATAATCGGAATTAAAACAGAATTATATCAAACTGAATCTTTATCAAAGAAGAAATACATGAAAAGGTATGTGAGAAAAAAGTTTGAAATGAAGTTTACAAATCTAAAAAGCATCTGCCAATCAAAAGACTACAAACCCCAAAACAGACATAGGTGTATTAAATTTGTTTATTTCACAACTCTTTAATAAACTGCTGAATTTAATGGAAATAAGTTGACAACGACCAGATAGCTATTATGACAACCTTCAGATACCCTGTGTGTGGGGGGGAAGGGGAGCTTAGAGAAAAAAATAAAATAAAATAAATTTTTCTATAAATTATATCCTGCTCCAAGTTGGCAAGTATGGCTAGTTTTAGTCACTGACAGAAGAGTCAAGGCTCCTGAGCTGGAGACAAAGGTCTTTACCCGTCCTGATGTAGCGCGTGTCAGCAGACTGTGGCAATCCTCCTTGCTCAGAGGGGACCACAGAGACCAGACAAGTGGGGCCATTCGATACCTGCAAACAACAGCTTTCTTGTGTAAGATAGCATGTGTATAAAGGACCTAAGTCTCTTATGATGGACAGATACCATGAGCTCTGCTGGAGGCAAAGGTATAATAGCTTTAAAAGTTGTTTGCTATAAAATCATATTGAAAAAGGAACTGTGAAAAACTATACAAAAGCAATACAATATTTACATAGAAAACAAATGTAAGAGGGTGTTTGCTTAGAAAAAAAATCTGAAGAAAATAAGCTTCAAAAAATTAGAAAGCTTAAAATATAATGTTTAATCATATGTTTTATGTACAATAAAATGCAAAAATTAATTTGGAGCATTGAATTAAACACTTACATAATCCCTGCCTTTAAATCCTTAAGCATATTATACTCTGGTTTGTTCCTCTGTTAGTGCTGATGCTTCATCCTAATCATACTGTAAATAGTAAATACTTGCAAAATCTGATTCCAGCTTAATTGCTTCGAGCTGTGACCAAAGCATCAAGATTATTCAATGTCCTTAGACATTGCAATGACAGCCAGCTTAGGAAACCATTTCTGCAACATGGTCAGCCATTTCACATTGGAATATTCTGAATTTGGGACAAGGTGTTTTAAAGTCAGTTATAAAAAAAATGGGATGTGAAGTTTCACTTGCTTTAGGTTATTTATGCCTTCCATTTTCCAAGCATCATCAAAAAAGATAAATCCTGAGTGAGGAAAAAGAAAGAATGTCACTTGTGGACAAGGAGATGGCTCAGTGGGGAGAAGCATCGACTGGCACAGGGCTGAGGCTCAAATTCATCTCAAGAACCTACATGGTAAAGGTACACACACACACACACAAACACACACACACACTGTTTAAAATGCCATTATGTAACCCAGTACCATTTCCAGTGAGTTTATACTAAAAAAACCTCATAAATTATATTATATATAATTATATAATATAATTATATACTTCTATGTAATCTGTGATACTATATAATTACATATTATATATTATAAAACTATACTTCATAAGCCTGTGCTAAGCCAAAACCTAATTAATAAATGAATTCCTCCACTGAATCAAAATGGCATGCTCCATTCTCATCTGCTGGCCCTGCTGCTTGTCTTACCACAAGGAACATTCTCCTCATCAGAAAACTTAGCATTTTCAAATTGGCCATCTGGTTAACTCTCCCTAAACTTCAACTCTTCTGTACCAAATATCTCCATTTCTTTGTCTGAAGCTATGAGCCTCCACTTTCCTGACTACTTTTTCTTGAACATAGCTTTAGTGCAGACTTTTTTTGGACATGATGTTTGTGATCTCTCGAACTTCCATTTGTAAGGTTTTTTGTTTTGGTTGGTTTTTTTTTTTTTTTTTTGCTTCTGTATTCATCTGCTGAGTGTGATCAGTCTTCTACTTTTCATGACACATAGAATATGGTAATAAGAATGGCTTACCATACTTGCCTAGCAATTCTATTACTACATAAATAAATAAATAAAATGAACAAACAAATGTCTTGCTAATAACCAATCACCTGATAATCACTAGGCCCAGGACCACTGAAAGCTTTTTTCTGAGCTATGAACGAAATTCGAGGCACTGAAGAACCAAATCCAGTCTTCGTTTGTTTCTTCAAGGAGGGTTTTTTAACCTGGGCTTTTACAATGTTGCTTGAGATATTATAAAAGCCAGGACCTAAAATCATAAAGAACATTACATATAAGAATAAGCACGCTTTTAAGAACTTTTTTTGAGCTCAGTAACATTAAGTAAACTTTTTAGAAGGAGGTCCATATATTTCTGGCAATATGGTATAGACACTTTTTTAAGTTTATCAATGGCTTTCAAAGATAATGAGCAAATGTGAGTGAGTGACTGAAGCATGCAGAGAAAGCAGTGACAACATTCTAAATGATTCAGCTTACATGAAACTTTAGAAAATTTACAAAACACAGGCTCAGAAGTTGCCTGAGGACAGGAATGAGGGAGGACATGAATGTCAAGGGTGCATTTGAGAAATTGTAAATGATGAGATTGTTCTAGAACTTGGTAATAATGGTGGTTGCCAGTGTAAAATTGAGCTGACAGTGTGAAGCCATTTGTAAGCCATATGCCATACTGAACTGTAGTGACCACTCCAAGAAATCTCTGACAAAAGAAATCGCAATGTGCTGAGAATAGTGGTATCTACTTCCTTCCCCAGTGACAATATCCCAGACCCATAAGACATCTAAGCAAAGCTACCAAACGATATTATTCCTTGCATAGTAATTTTTCACAGCCTAAGTTATTATCCAAACTTCCTCCTCTTGCCATTATCAAGGCTTCCTAAATCCCTTCCTAATGAGACAGGCTCTAATCTTTCCTAGTGTACTAGTTTGGTTTCTGTTGCAGTGATTAAAACATTAGCTAAAGGACACACGTACAGATTGAAACAAACGTAAACAGTTCAGTGCCCGTCATCAGGCCTATACAATGTTCTGGGATGTGAAGGAGGCAGCTCCTCCTCTCCTGCCCTGCTCCTCACAGCACCCACAAGCTTGCCTTGTAAACTTAGGCAGGCTCCTTCCACACATCCCACCGTTCTTGGTGGTCACCCCACACTCCTGGCATCTCCAATATGCTGAGGTCTGCACTGCAACACAGGCTGCCTCTCCTGGGTGCTCTCCATGGACTCAAACCCGGCTTGAAGATGGCAAGCCTCACCTCTCTCTACAACACTTTCAATCCTAGAGTCTCTACTACAGCTGAGGCTACGCCTGTGTCAGTGGTACCCTGGCTTCCTTGCTGTAGTTCTAACATTCCTAAGTGGCATCAGGCTGCATCTCCCTCTAAGATCCCTTCATGTCTTCAAACCCACTGCACGGAGGATACTCTTACCACCACCAAGTTCAGAAACCAGCCTGAGATGCAGCCTTGACCCACCCCACCCCCCGAACCACATTGTTTGTGTGCTGACCCTGAGAAACTACTTCTCAGAATATATCACCTCAAAAATGCTGGTATCTCATTAACCACAATTGATTCGTCAGCCAATTCTAACCAGCACCGATTGTCCCAGTAAAGCAAGCATTCCACTACCAGAGATTCTTAATCTAAAATTTTATACAAAGGGTCCTAATCTTTGCTTCTTTCTGGAACATCACAAGCCAGGGTCCCAGCCTCCACACCTCTCTCGACATTATTGTCTTCTAAGCTTTCATAACAGACCATTAACTTCCGAGTGTTCAACAGCTTCTTCCAGCTGAAAGCTCTGAAATCCTCCCAAGGACCACAGTCAGGGAGGTCCATCAGAGCAACACCCCCAGACCTTGGTGCTAGTTTTCTGTTCTAGTTCGGTCTCTCGTGCTGTGATAAAGTGATAAAGCATTGAACAACTGCACCTAGAGGGAAGAGAGAGTTTATCTGAATTACAGATTAACAGCATTAAGAAAAGCCAAGCAGAAACTTAAGGCAGTGACCTGGGGTCAGGAACTGAAGCAGAGACTGTGGAAGAACACTGCTTAGCGGCTAGCCTGCCCTGGCTTCTTCAGCTACATCTCATACGAAGTCCAAGCCCACATACCCAGGAACGATACTACCCACAGTGGGCTTAGCCCGCCTATATCAAGTACCAATCAGGAAAAATGTCCCACAGACATGCCCGCCGGCCAATCTGATAGAGTCAAAATGCCTCTCCCCAGCTAAGACTAAGGTTGTGTTAACAATAAAACTAACCAAGAGAGCTCTGATCTGTGCTACCTCGATATCAAACCTAAGTGCTGTCTTGTTTAATATAGCACTCTTTAAATGACAGCTAACTGATACATTTATCAAGATCGTGGACTGTATACTTTAAATTATTTTTATTATAGGCAAACTAAATGTCAAAAGAGAATACATGAATAAATCACAAAGCTAAACAACGATAGAAAGTTGATGTAAAATGTAACATGAAAAGACCAAATTTTCCAATTTTGTTGAATATAGGCTTTTGTAGTAGGATCTGATATGCCTGCCCAATACCACAGAAGGCACAGCTAACCGGCTACCACAAATATTAATGAAAAAAATAGATACCCTCACAAAGCCAGGCCCAATCATAAATATGATGAATAACAATTTACATCCAGGGAAGAGAAATCTCCCTGAGAATCCCTTTCTTTTTTCTTTCCAGGTAAAATTGAATCACCCGTGATGCCTGCTATTAGAAGTTCTAACCCAGATGGACCAGAAGCCAGGAGCCTCGCCCTTACCCTCACCCCCTACCTTTTCCCACCTGCACAAGGTCCCCTGAAGCTTGGCAACTGCAAGATCCTGCTTGGCAACTGCAGATAGACTCAAAGCAGTGTACCATATCATCTGAAGAATAGCAGGGAGACCATAACTCAAGCAGTGTACCATATCTTCTGAAGAATAGCAGGTTGCAGTCCTCCTCGCCCCCACGAATAACCAGGACCCGCCGGTCGGGTCAAGTGGCACCCAGACGTGGGGCTCGAGGCAAGGACCCATCCGGACGGACCCTCATTGAGAGGATGTGCGCACGACATCAAGATTGAGCAAGACAGAGATCATCGCCCGTGACCTGTCGTCCACGGAACCAGGTTGATGCTGCCATCAAGAAGGCAGTTGAAGTTCATTACCATCAGCTGAAAATTGCAGAGGATCCAGAAGTGACACCGCAGGAGACTGACACAGCTGTCAGCTCCCCTGCCTCCCCCTATGGTCGACCCCTAGACTTCCACGCCCTCCAGAAGGGTACCTGGTATGCCTGGCTTTGCCCTCATTTCTCTCGCTAGAGAGCTTGGCCTCTTGATCACCACAACAAAAATTGGCTTTTTCCTAAACCAAGGCCACCCTTGATATGGCCGCTAACATTGGGGAGCCTTCCTTTATGACAATATTACACCCCAAACTGACAAATGGTTGGTAACTTGAACATTTACAAGAGACTAGGATGGCTGTGAGTTAGCCCAATGACGGGATTATTGTAGGTCCACTTCCCAGGGGCCCACCCAATGCAGCCGAAAAGGAGTGCGTGGCGCTGGGAGTGGGTGCAGCCTACATGGCCTAAGACAGGGCTCTCACCCTCCTTTCACCCACATCAGAGTCCCTTGACGTTGCCCATCGTCAACAGCCTAAAGCCTTCGACCATCGATGTGCCTCGTCTCACATCAGTGTTTTGGGGTTGTGAACTTGTCTAAGACCCCCCATAATTAGACATCCAAATTCAAAACTCACATAGTTGGGATTGAACATAAGACGCCTTCTCTAACTAAACAGAGAAGGGGGAGATGCCAGAAGCCAGGACCCTCGCCCTTACCCTTACCCCCTACCTTTCCCCACCTGCACAATGTCCTCTGAAGCTTGGCAACTGCAAGATCCTGCTTAGCAACTGCAGATAGACTCAAAGCAGAGTACCATGTCTCCTTAAGAATAGCAGGGAGACCATAACTCAAGCAGTGTACCATATCTTCTGAAGAACTGCAGGTAGATCATAATTCAAGGCAGTGTACCATATAGACCATGACATGTTTCAAGGCACAGGCCAAGAAGATTTTGTACTTTTCCACCACCTGGACCCTCTTACCCCCTCCCCTTGTAAAACATGCTATAAAAAAGCATTTCATGTTCAAAAAAAAAGAAAATAAAAAAATATATATATTAAAAAATAAATAAATAAAAAAAAATAATAAAAAAAAGAAAAAAAAAGAAAAGACCACCTATCCTCTAATGCTGCTCTCACTGCACTCACTCCAGTTCACTCCTTCCTTCCAGTAACACATGTAACTCAGGGTATTTCCTACAGGGATGGTCTGAATGAATGGAGTTTCACATACTTTTTTCACTCCAAATAATATAAACAGCTTTCTATGATGTTGAAACTATTTGTTTTCTTAAGATAGATACTTGCAATAAAATATTCAAGTGTCCTCTATATAGTTCCATTTTTCTACAAGAGGAGTCTGCTTGGGTGAGTTCACATCTATTAGTGAAATGGGGCATATTTGAATAGGACACATAATTTCAGTTATGTGTATTCTATTCAACTGGCTCTGTTACTTAATACGACTACAACTTTACTATATACTGATTTGTCTGCTTACCAGATAGTCAATGCTCACATTTTTTTTACTTTAAATAATACCATCAAACATACAACGTCACTAAATTAAATTCTCTCATGTAACCACCCTGTTAAAGATAGTTAGTTAAACACAGAGTAAAAGATTAACAACAGACCTGGTAGCTCCTGTGACTTGGAATCCTTTGTGAATCGGGCAGCCCTTTGACCAAATGGCGAAAGCAGTTCTGATCGTTTCTTTGGGAAACTGAAAGCAGTTCGTATCTCATTGTATGTGCCAGGAGCCGGGGCACAGGATTTGATAGGTTTGAATCTCTGGGAAAATATGCCATTAATAATCACAAGTAAGATCCCATACTTTATGAGTTAGAAGCTGCCTTCTGAGTGGTGCAGCATCTAATGGATATTTTTTTAATGTGGCAAAGACAACAGAAATGAATTAAGAACTTTTGGTCATTGAAACAAAGTTTTACATAGCGTTTGGAAAAGTCCCTGATATACTAATAGAGTTATGTACGGTGTGCCACATTTCCCTTAGGAAAAAATGTGGAGAAGAATCTCTAGTTCTGGATGGCAGTGTATGGAAAGTTTTAATTTTTAAATAGTCTTCACTTAAAGAACTATACGATCAAATATGGTTTATGTCATATTTGTGTGTATGCACATATTTGAGGGAGCTCGTGTGTGTGAGAGTGTGTGTGTGTGTGTGTGTGTGTGTGTGTGTGTGTGTGTGTGTGTAAAAATGTCTACATGTTCATGGTTGGGCAGAGGTCAAGTCAAAAGTCTTCCTTAATTGCTTCTCCACCTGAGTTTTTGAGACAGGGTCTTTCATGAACCTGCAGCTCACTTGTTGGCTAGACTGGCTGGCCAAGAAGCCCCAGAGGTCCTCCTGTATTTACTGTCTGATACTGGTGTAGTCAAATACCGTGGTTGCCTGGAGTATTTCTTGCTTTAACCTCTACACTGTGGTATAAGGAGTCATTGCTCTTTTGTTTCTCTTTTACTATAGTTTTAGAAGGTTTCTCATTAATTACTTTATTCACATTACATCCCAATATCTGTCCCCTCCTCCAAGTCCTCCTCTTTCACAGCTCCTCCTTCCATCCTCCCACCCCCATCTCCATCTCCTCTGAGAAGGGGTAGGACCCCCCCCCCGAGTATCATCCTATCATGGCACATCAAGTCTCTGCAGGATGAGGCACATCCTCTCACACTGAGGACAGCCCAATAAGACAGTCCAGTTAGAGGAACAGGATCCACATGAAGCCAAACAGAAACAGGGCCAGCTCCAGTTGTTGGAAGACCAGGCATGATGACCAAGCTGAACACTTACTACATGTATGAGGAGCCTAGGTCCACCCGTGCTTGCTCTTTGGTTGGTAGTTCAGTCTCTGGGAGAACCTAAGGGTCCAAGTTAGTTGACTCTATTAGTCTTCCTGTGGAGTTCCTATCCTCTTTGTGTCCCTCAACCCTTCCACCAACTCTTCCACTAGACATCCAGCCTCTATATAATGTTTGACTATGGTTCTCTGCATCTGTTTCCAGTGGCTGTTGGATGAAGCCTCTCAGAGAACAGTTGTACTAGGTTTCTGTTGCAAGCGTAAGAGAGGATCATTAACAGTGTCAGGGATTGGTTCTTGCCCGCAAGATGGATCTCAAATCGGACCAGTCACCACTTGACCATTCCCTCCATCTCTGGCTCATTTTGTCCCTTCACGTCATGTAGGCAGGACACATTTGGGGTCGAAGGTTTTGTGGGTAGGTTGCTGTCCTTATCCCTCCACTGGGATCCTGCCTGGCTACAGGAAGTGGACACTTCTGGCTTCATATCCTCCACTGCTAGGAGTCTCAGCTAGAGTCACTCCCACAGACTCCCTTGAACCTCCTCCTACCCATGACTTAGGTCTCCAGCACTTCCTAAAGATGCACCCCCTACCAATTTCCATTCTCCACGCCCTACTCTCCCTACACCTGATTCCCTCCCATACCCATCCTCTCTCCCACCCAGTTTGCTTCCTCACTCCACCTGCAATATATATTTTATTTCCTCTAATGAGAAAGATTCAAGCATGCTTCCTTGGGCCCTCCCTGTCATTTGGCTTCTTTGGGTCTGTGGGTTGTATCACGGTTATCTTGTACTTTATGGCTTATCTTGTACTCACTTATAAGGGAGTACATGCCATACATGTCTATTTGGGTCTAGGTTACCTCACTCAGGATGCTATTTTGTAATTCGGTGCATTTGCTGCAAAATTCACAATGTCCTTGTTTTTAATAGCTGAGTAATAGTCCATTGTGTAAATAAACCACACCTTATTTACCCATTCTTTGGTTAAGGAACATCTGGGTTGTTTCCAGTTCCTAGCTATTACAAACAAAGTTCCTATGTACATAGTTGAGCACCTGTCCTTACAGGCATAGAGCATCTTTTGGTTATATGTCCAAGAGTGGTATAGTTAGGTAAGGAGGTAGAACTATTCTGATTTTTTCTGAAACTGCCAAATAGATTTCCAGATTGGTTGCATAAGTTTGTATTCCAATCAGGAATGTATAGTATTCCTTTTGGTCCAACATCCTTGCTAGTATATATGGTTCCATGAGTTTTAGATCTTAGAATTACTGATGGGTAAAAGGTGGACTCTCAGAGTCATTTTGATTTGCATTTATATCCCTGATAACTGAGAAGAGTGAATAGTTGTTTAAGTGTTTCTCAGTCATTAGAGATTCCTCTGTTGAGAATTCTCTGGTTAGCTCTGTATCCCATTTTTTAATTAGGATATTTGGGTTGTTTGGTGTCTAACTTCTAGAGATCTTTATGAATGTTAGGTATTAGCCCTCTGTCAGATGAAAGGTTGGTGAAGATCTTTTCCCATTCTGTAGGTTACCATTTTGCTGTAGTGAAAGTGTCCTTTACATTACAGAAGTTTCCTGGTTTCATGAGGTCCCATTTATTAACTATTGATCTTAGTTCCTGAGCGTTGGTGTTCTGTTCAGGAAGTTGTCTCTCCTATCAATGAGTTCAAGGCTAGTCTCCACTTTCTATTCTATTAGACTTAGTGTATCTGGTTTTACATTGAGGTCTTTGATTCTCTTGGACTTTAGTTTTGTGCAGGTAAAAAATATGGATCTATTTGTATTCATCTACATGCAGACAGCCAGTTAGGCCCACACCATTTGTTGAAGATGCTCTCCCTTTTTCATTATATAGTTTTGGCTTCTTTGTCAAAAATCAAATGTCTGTAGGTGGGTGGGTTTATTTCTGGGTCTTCAATTCTATTCCATTCATCAACCTATGGTACCAATACCATGCAGTTGGTATTACTACTCATCTGTACTACAGCATGAAGTCAGGGATGAAAAGACCTTCAAAAGTTATTTTATTGTCCAATATTGTTTTAGCTATCCCAGGTTTTTTGTTTTGTTTTGTTTTTCTATATGAAGGTGAGAATTGTTCTTTCAAACTCTATAAAAATTGTGTTGGAATGTTGATGGAAATTGCACTAAATCTATACACTGCCTTTAGCAAGATGGCATAAACCTACATATCCATGAGCATGGGAGATCTTCCTATCTTCTGATATCTTCTTCAATTTCTTTCTTCAGAGATTTGAAGTTCTTGCTATACAGATCTTTCACTTGTTTAGAGTCACACCAAGATATTTTATATTATTTGTGGCTATTGTGATGGACATTGTTTCCCTAACTTCCTTCTCAGCCCATTTATTATTTGTGTAAAGGCATGCTGCTGATTTCTTGGAGTTAATTTAGTATCCAGCCATTTTACTGAAGGTGTTTCATCACCTTTAGGAGTTATCTGATAGAATCATTGGGGTTACTAATGTACACTATCATATTATCTATGAACAGTGATACTTTGATTTCTCCTTTCCAATTTGTATTCTCTTGATCTCCTTTAGTCATCTTATTGCTTTAGCTAGGACTTCAAGTACTATATTTGAAGAGATAGGGAGAATGGACACATTGATTTTGGTGGAATTACTTTAAGTTTCTCTCTGTTTGATTTGATGTTTGCTATTGGCTTGCTATACATTGCCTTAATTGTGTTTAGGTATGGACCTGGTGTCCCTGATCTCTCTGAGACATTTAACATGAAGAGATGTTGGATTTTGTCAAAGGCTTTTTCAGCATCTAAGGAGATGATGGTGTGGCTTTTTTCTTTAAGTTTGTTTACATGGTGGATTATGTTGATGGATTTTTATATATCAAACCAGCCCTGCACCACTTGGATAAGGCCTACCTGATCATGGTGGATGATGTCTTTGATGTGTTTGTGGATTTGGTTTGCAAGTCTTTATTGAGTATTTTTGCATCAATGTTAACAAGGGAAATTGGTCTGAAATTCTCTTTCTATCTTGAGTCTTTGTGTGGTTTAGATATTAGGGTGAATGTGGCCTCATAGAATGTTTGACAATGTTTCTTCTATTTCTGTTTTGTAGAATTCTTTGAGAGTATTAATATTAATGCTTTGTTTGAAAGTCTAGTAGAATTCTGCTCTAAAACCATTTGGCCCTCAGTTTTTGTTGCTGTTGTTGGTTGTTGTTGTTGCTGTTGTGAGAAGACTTTTAATGATTGTTTCTATTTTCTTGGGGGTTATATGACTATTTACATAGTTTACCTGATTTTGATTTAACTTTGGTAAGTAGTTTTTATCTAGAAAATCATCATCTATTTATTTAGATTTTTGCAATTCTGTAGTATACAGGCTTTTGAAGTAAGACCTAATGATTCTCTGATTTTGTTCAGTGTCCACTGTTACGTCTTTCTTTTCATTTCTGATTTTTGTTAATTTGGGTACTGTCTCTCTACCCTTTAGTTAGTTTGGCTAAGGGCTTGTCTATCTTGTTGATTTTCTCAAAGACACAGCTCTTCCTTTGTGCTGTTCTCTTTGTTTCTAATAGATTGATTTCAGCCCTTAGTTTGATTATGTCCTGACATCTACTCTTCTTGAGCTTTTGGGTGTACTTTTAAATCCTTAGTATGAGAACTCTCCAATTTTTTAGGAAGGCACTTAGTGCTATGAACTCTACTGTTAGCACTGCTTTCATTGTGTCCCATAAGTTTGGTTACATTGTGATCTTATTTTCATTGAATTCTATAGAGTCTTTCATTTATTTATTTCTTCCTTGACCCAGTGATCACTGAGTAGAGAGTTGTTCAGTCTCCACGAGTATGTAGGCTTTCTGTTGTTTACATTGTTGAAGTCCAGCTTTAATCCATGCTTGTCTGATAAAATACAAGGAATTATTTAAATCTTCCTGTATATGTTGAGATTTGCTTTGTGGCTAAATATATTGTCAACTTTGGAGAAGGTTCCATGAGGTGCTGAGAAGAAGGTATAATCTTTTCTGTTTGGGTGAAATATTCTGTACATATCTATTATGTCCATGTGATTTATAAACTGTTACCTCTGTTTAGTTTCTCTCTGGATGACCTCAATTGTTGAGAGTGGGGTGTTGAAGTCTCCCACTATTAACGTGTGGATTTTGATGTGTGATTTAAGATTTAGTAATATTTCTTTTATGAATGTGCATGCTCTTTCATTTGGGGCATACATGTTCAGAATTGGGAGGCCATTTTGTTGTCCATATTACATTTTATAAATACAAAGTATCCTTCCCCATCTCTTTTGATTACTTTGGTTGAAAGTTTATTTTATTAAATATTAGAATGGCTATTCCTGCCAGTTAATTTGGTCTGTTTTCTTGGAAGACCTTTTTCCAGCACTTTACTCTGAGGTAACATCTAACTTTGTTGCTGAGGTGTGTTTCTTATATGCAACAGAACAATGGATCTTCTTTATGCATCCACTCTGCTAACTTGAGTCTTTTTATTGGGGAATTTTTATTTGATGATAGTGGTGATAATGGGGGAGGGGGAGATTGAGATTCTCTTCTTTCGTTTTTACTTATGCAGAATTATATACTTATTTTGTGTGTTTTCTTGAGTGTAGTTATCCTCCCTATACTAAAGATTTCCTTCTAGTATCTTCTGTCAGGCTGAATTAGTAGAAAGATATTGTTTAAGTTTAGTTTTATCATGGAATATCTTGTTTGTCAGTCTACAGTGATTGAAACTTGCTGGGTATAGTAGTCAGGGCTGAGACTTGTGATTTCTTAGAGACTGTAAAACATCTGCCCAGGACCGCTGGCTTTTAAACTCTCTGTTGAGAAGTTTCATGTAATTCTAATAACTCTGCCTTTATAGGCTACTTGGCATTTATCCCTTGTAGCTTTTAATGTTCTTTCTTTGTTCTGGACATTTAGTGTTTGTCTTTTATGTGGTGGGAGGATTTTCTTTTTTGATTCACTCTATTTGGTGTTCTGTATTATTCTTCAAAGAAACATTCATTGCTGCCTCACATTTTTTTTATCTATTCCTCTGTGATCCACTGTGGTGCATGGGGAGTTCGCAATGTATACCATTTTCTTATATCCATAATGTGACTTCACCTACAGGCTGGCTAATGTCACACTTCCAGCATAATATCAACCAACTTGCAGAATTCCTGGAAACCACCATTGTCTCATGTATGTTGACATGAGTCCACTGCAGACCATCCCAACTCTTTGCCATCCTTTCCAGACAGCCAAAAACATTGCTTTCTGGTTTACCCTCTATGTGTATGTATAAAATCAAGCAGTTATGTGTATGTTTTCTTAACCCTTCTTTCTTATACAAAGTTGCAGTGTATCAAATATGCTTTCTGCATTTTGGGAAAACAAGTAAATATCAAGGCCAACTACCCTGACCTCTAAGAGACCAGGAAAGGGCATGTTGGTTCCTGGGTGTGTCAATTTTTACAATTCCATGGATCGTTCTAAAGGGTATCCAGAATTTAGAACCATGGTTACAATGAAACTCTTGTGTTTTGTTAAGTAATATATCAAAAGATGAGGAGATTTCTAAGCCATTTCTGAAATTTCTCAGAATCTAAAATTTCCCAGAAACATATCTGCATTTACTCATAAAGGAGAAATTGTTGCTACTAAGTCTACTTTCTTAATTGGATTCTTCTTTTTCTATCATTATAATTCATATATCTTTTCAAATTAAACTAAACAAACTATCTCTCGAGGTAATCTGGTTTGGTTTTAACCCTTCTGTGTCTTCACCCGTTATTCTTTCTTTCACTATCATCCCTTTGAACATAATTGCTATTCTTTTCCATGTACAAGATATAATTTAAATGATTGCTGCCAAATGACATAAAATTAGCTCTATATACTAGATGAATATAAGTCACAAAAACCTCAAAAGTGCCAATTATAACCTGTATTTTTAAAAATCAAAGGCATTCACACACACAAACACACATACACACACACACACACTGTCCTTTATGCGTACCTCTTGTGCGGTGCCTTAGGTACTCTCAAGTAGCTCAAGACTAAAATATAATATTTACTTTTGAGTCTCCCTAGCCCCTCAGTGCATCTAACTCATTAAAATATAATCTTAATTATATCATAAAATATATATTTAATCTATCTACTTGTCTCCAAGGAGGAGATTTTAAATATGTTGAAAGCAAAGTAGTTGTCTATAATAACTTTCCCAAGTTAAATAAAACAATCGGAACTGCACAGAGTGCAAGCAGGTAATTTTCACAACTACTTTGTCTGCAGGCTGCTGCATTATAAATGTTTGCTAGTCTCTTGATTTTCTTTCTACAGAAGTATCCTAAAGACATTTGAGTTTACTTGGATTGCTCCTTGAATGGCCTGAAGTGGTTGCTTTGGAACAGATACTCTGACTGAACATCACTAGTGAAGGTCCCAGGGGCAGGTACATGTGTGCCCCTATGGCAGTTATGACAGAATACTGTCATACCATTCCCCACATATTACATATTTCTACATGGACTACACTTTACTCCATACATGCATTAGCAAATTACACTTTAGCATTCAAAATAAATTAGGTATTTCTTATCATCCAAACTGAATCTTCACATATGCAAATTTGATTAATAGAAAACATTTGATACGTGTTTCCAATTCAAATATTCATCTGTGTATTTCTGTTAATATTCAATCTGATTTCAAAAATAGTGCTCACAATTTTGCAGTGTTTCTCCTTAATATACCAATTTTTACTTTTCTGAATGTCATTTTGTATTTTATAATCTCCTTAAACATCTTTAGATTTGTTACTGGGTTCACACCATGCCTGTTACACTATGTATATGAAAATGTATGTACATCATTACCTCTGTTTCGGAATAGAAAATAAAAGATGAAACATTCACAAGTGCTGACATGGCTTTTATCGTGTCAAATTGACTTTTAATGTTGTACTTTCCAGGTCCTGGTACACCCTAAGTTACAGAAAAAAGAAATACATTAAGAAAGGATTATCTTTCTACAACACCTAAGAAATCACTGGATAATTCTTATAGGCTATTACCAAATTATGTCATTAAGAGCAGAGCAGGGAGGAAAAGAGGAAAACTCCTACAAAGAAACAAGAAAGGAAAAAGAAAGAAAGGGAGAGAAAGAGAGGGAGGAAGAAGGGAGGGAGGGAGGGAGGGAGGGAGGGAGGGAGGGAGAGAGAGAGAGAGAGAGAGAGAGAGAGAGAGAGAGAGAGAGAGAGCAAAAGAGAGAGAAAGAAAAAAGATGTCCTGGTCAAAGTATCATTTGGGCCTGAAATCACACTTCCTGAAGCTCTGCTGCCCTCTGCTGATGAAGTGAAAAAATATTCCTACCTTTTCTCATGGCTAACTTTTAAAAGAAAGAAAGAAAAATGTTTTCAACTGTTCTTTCATTTCAGGGTATATACGTAGCCTTTCCTCTTTAAACGTCTCTGGTTTGGAGTACAGACCAGTGGTAAGATTCCTGCTAATCATGCGCACGAGGTTCAGCACATAGCCGCAGCAGTAAGAGAAACTTCACTGTCTTCTCCAACGTTCAATAATCAATAGCAAAACAATACACAACAGGAAATACTTTATTTTAAACACAAATGCTTGATGTAAAAACTAAACTTTTACTTGAATACTTTTCAATAAATAAAAATTAATTGTATTAATCATAGGACTGAGTTATTATTATTATTATTATTGAGACATAAGAGAAGATAGATAGATAGATAGATGATAGATAGATAGATGATAGATAGATGATAGATAGATAGATGATAGATAAATGATAGATAGATAGATAGATAGATAGATCATAGATAGATCATAGATAGATCATAGATGGATAGATGATAGATAGATGATAGATAGATGATAGATAGATGATAGATGATAGATAGATAGATAGATGATAGATAGATAGATAGATAGATAATAGATAGATGATAGATGGATAGATGATAGATAGATGATAGATAGATAGATAGATGATAGATAGATGATAGATAGATAGATAGATAGATAGAT